AAAAAAAAAAAACCAACCAAACCTAAACAAAAACAAACAAACAAACCCACAATAAACCCCACCAAAAACTATACTAGAGTATGTGGCAATAATTAACATATTTCTATGGAAATTGTCTCATGCCTTATAAGCTCCTAAAATAAAATCAAGGTCATTCACTATGTGACTAACAATAGCACTAGGAGGAAAACACAAAACACTGGAAGTCTTCAGCCCTGGTTTCAGCTATCTCTTCGAATTAGCATTAAGCACTTAATATCAAATACAACATTTTTGGCTTGTCAGACCAGTAAGTCATGTGTTTCCACTGGCCAGAGGCAGCTGAAGAAACAATTGCTTGAATAAACTAAACACAGTGACATGAAGCATTTGACTTCCAAGTCTGAGGATTTAGTTAAAATGACTGGTGAACAGCTAACTGGGCAAAAGGAATGGCATCCATCATCCAAACAGGCTCACTTCCCCCAGCCCCCAAAACGAACAGTAGTTATAATAGCAAAAGAAACAAACAAAAAAAAAAGAAAAAAAGTGTTTTTTTTTTGATTCTTTAGGGCCAACTATGAAAGAGGTCAGCAATATATTAACAGCAGCAACGGACAAGGAAGAGCAAAAAATGGATGAAAGAATCTTGCTGGACGTTTGTTCATCTTTTTCTGTATTAGCCAGAATATTGCAACTGGCTTATTTGGAAATTTCAGGTATATATATGTCTTATCTCCTTAGATCCTTCACAGATTTAGAATGCAGTCTACCTGAGTGAGGGCTCTATAACCATGTAAGAAAGCTTTCTTTATCTAGCTTGGTGGCAGCCAAAACAGACTCCATGTCATTAAGGATGTCAGAACTCAAAGCTTCCTGCAAACTTGGCATCAGCTCCTCTCCTTCTATGTTCATTCCATCTCCCTCCAGTGTTCCAAGGTCCACATTTGTCCCAGGAATGGCTTCAAGGTAGTCTGGGAAACGGTTCTGTTGTGAGGGTAGGGTGCTTTGGTTGATAGTATCACCTAGTAGAACAGAGAGACAGAGTAAGATTCTTTTGAAAAGCTAACATCAGAGTTGTTATCATGTGCATACAGGGATGCACAGAGAAAGAAAGCATTCCTGACTGACCTCCAGCACTGATGCCCAGACTTTATTTCACCCTAAATAACCCACAGATAACAAAATAACAATGCCAAGTTTACTTCTGCTTCAACACGTTCAGATATTGGATGAACACCTTGATTGTTTATTAATAAGCGCTGATCACTAAAGGGGGGCCATGAAAAAAATAAAATCCCTTGCAAATTATATATAGCAATGGAAAAAGGACAGTATCCTATACAATAGCATCACTATTGACTTTCTTCCAAATATGCACTATCATATTAAGATAAAAATATAAAAATGAATGCTGTAGACCTATCTTTCCCTTAAGTATACACTTTGGGGAACACTAAAATAAAAGGACTGTATGAAAATTCTATCCCACTTGTGGAGATTCACATTCATAATAGCAAAACAAGTCTCCCGAAAGTCCATGAAAAAATAAATCTTCCTAGATTTGTTTCTAGGTTTCCCCAACTTACCTGGCCACAAACCTTTTTTGCATATGACATTAACAATCCTTAGAGAGCTTCAATGGAACATGCTTTCAGAAAAACTAATATAAACCATTAAATGCTATCGGAATTTGGAGAAGAGAGAACTAGGGGATAGAGGAGTAAGGGGTTGTGGATGAGAAGGGTCTGAAGTGACACTTAAGGATGATTTAAGATTTAGGTCAGCAGAGAGGAGGGGAAGCACCAAAGCCACGAGCTGGATAAGCACAGGCATAAAAGACTTGCCAAACACTTTCAGAAGTCATCAGCTACAGAACTACCTAGCTGGAAACCTGCTTCATTTCCCTGACAATCCCTGCCCTCTGCTAGTTGCCAGGTCCAGGGCAACCAGGGGGCATTAGGTGAGCCACAAGATAAATGGCTCCTTAACTACCCCTGTGAAGCAGGTATTTATTTCTTAGCTCCTGCTAGGACCCTTGCAATTATTTCAACAATAATAGCCTTTCCCACATAGTTTCCTGAGCCCCGTAACACCTAGGCTGAAACAAAGACCCTCAGAAGAAAGAGGGAAGCAGAAACCAAGTCACATATAAAAAGAGGCATATGAATCACAGAGGTATCTTTCTCGAAAATTAAGAACACAAATCTACAATAATACAGACTTCTCAGAGGGTCCTCAATTGCTTTGTCAACCACCTCAATACTGCAAATGCTTAAGTAAATCATGTCATCAGTTTTGTTTAAAATGAGCCAAGACAGCCATGACATCAAAAACTAGAAGACTTAAGTTACAAACTACCATACAGAAACAAAGCACTCTTGATATGAACTGTCTATGGGATTTTTAAATTGATTTCAAAGTCTATGGGATTTTAATTTGTCTTCTTCAGAATAATCTTTTTTCACAGCAGCTTACTGGAACTGGTGATGAAATGACTCTATCTGACTGAAAGTCAGATTAGTAAGAAGAATAAAGAATACCAACCTGTATCCATTTCATCCACACTGTTCAAGAAATCATCTGGGGTTCGAGGGACACTGTAGCTACTCATGCTTAGTCCACTGTCTGTACTCTCATCTCGAGAATGATAGGTGCCACTATAAAGAATCAGAGTTACAGAACAACACAAAAAAAATTTAAGTGATTTCAAGGTAAAAATAAATACCTGCTGAGTACCAACACGATTCTCAAAGAGGATTAAAGACAACTCCTTCCCCACAGCATCTGAAACAAGCGCCTCCTTTAGAGCCCATACACAGTCCTTATGCTCTGAAATCAGACAGACGAGTTAATCCTAAGAGAAGCTGGCAGCGTTAAGGGGCCAAGATCTCTCCTAAGGTTCTGGGTTTGGTGGCAAGAAGGATAAACAAAAACAAAAACCTCTGTTTTCCGAATTGACAGAAAATTCTCCGTATTCCTTCTAATACCACTTGAATCTGGAGGGTCCACATAGCTCACTTATCTCAAGGTCCCCATTTCCCAAGTGGTGGCAACCCAGGTATAAATCAGAACACAAACTCTAAGTGGGCGTTGAGACAGGTCTTTACTAGACACAAGTCAAATTCCTAGCTCTCAGTGCAGAGTGTTTAAGCCAAGGGGAAAGATCAACCCAAAAAAGAACCAGAATTCCTTTTTGGATTGGGCCAGAACAGGGGAGCCACTGCTGGTGAGTCTGTAGCTTGATCTCCTTGCTTCTGTTTAAGGGGGAAAAACACCACAAACACCTTAGCTTAACACAGGAGTCCTTAGAATTCCAGCTGAAGGGAAGATTAAAAAAAAAACAAACAAATGAAAAAAATAACACCTGCCACCCCACCCCCAACACACACAAAACAACTACAAAGCACACGCCTCGGGAAAAACAAAAACATGAGCCAAGACTGATTTTTACTTTAGGCTAAATGAAGTTTTCTAGATATACATACAAGTATGGCAATACCCTGAGAACATCACTTTAATAAACACAGTACTTTTCTAACTTGCAGCAGGTAAATACCAGCAGAAACTAACTGTAAAATTTGGGTTTCTACTAATTTTAGAAAAATTTATGGAAAAGTGTGAATCAAAGGCGATTTTACTCTTAAATAGTCTCTGACCATGATGTGAATTTTAACTTTCAGCTTGGACATTTAAGTAGCTGCTTAGCTTACACAAAAGTTAAAATACAAAAAAACAACTAAGCTTGAAAACAATCTTTCACAGTTGTTCAGGGTTCAAAGATTAGTCCCCAAATTTCTTCCCTACATTACACAATGCATTTGCTGACCGCCCACCCCCTCACTCTGTATATTGCAATCACTGGTTTAACACTTCTGCCAGCTTTTGGCAAGATTCAAAAGCTTCACGCCGATCCAAGAAAGCATAAATTTGCCTCTGAGACCATTTGTACACAATGCAGCTGCATCAGAGAAGGCCTCAGGATGTGGTTTGTTTTTATCTTGCCTGCCCTGATCTGGGACAAGGGCCTGGTCCTAGTCATCACTCTATTCCCACCACTAAGCATGCGACACACATCAGACACTCAAGACTGTTATAGAATAGCTGAATTTACACAGAGATGCGGAGTTCTTTCCAAGTCGCAGGGAAGCACATGGGCATTCCTGAGGACAGAGTTCATGGGCCATTTTCCTGATTAGGAACTGCTCCCTACAGAACCCTATCAGCTACTGCACCCACTCATTCAATAAACATTCACAGAGCATCTTGTACTACACGATAAGCATCAGACAAGGCTCTGAGGATACAGAGGTTAACAACATTAACAACCTGCAACTGATGCTCTTTGAGAGACTCACAACTTAGGAGAGGGAGATGAATAAACACATGAATGAATCATATGTGAGCAAAGTGTTTTCAGAACAAAGAGAAGGAGATTGAAAAGTATAGGGGAAAGGTTTCGTGGAGGGGGACACTGGAGCTGACCTTGTAGAACCTTGGTGTAAAGGCAGACAAGGGGATGTTGTACCACTACGAAGAGTCAACTCCGTGGCAAGATAGGGGAACAAGTGTTTAGAACTTAAGGAATATGTACTCATCAAGTAACAGGCAATGAGAAACTATCAAGAGTTTTTGAAAAGAGAAATGTCATAGTTAGATGTGTGTTTTAGAAACTGGGGGTACTACAGAAGGTGGGAAAGGGGCTTTGCCTTTACAGTAAAACACTGATAATCTGCCACTCTCTGATCTTCACCAGAAAACAGAATCTCAACTGTAGCTCAGCTCCCATCAAAATTTAAGAAAGAAGCTTCACAAATGACAACCACAAGGATGGATATGCAGTCTATCCATTTGTCTAAGTAGCCCAATATTATCCCTGGATCAATACAGGCCCTTCAATAAGATGTGTACTGGAATCATAATGATCTAAAATTTTCCTTGTGGGGAAAAAATAAAGTTCTGTGGCTATGACCTTTCCTAGTTAACTTCAAGTTCAGAACTATAATCTTGTGTAAATACACTCAATTTTTGGCAGAACTTTAAACTGAGTGTCAGAGAAGTAAATACAAACTTAACATTCATTTCAGATGGACTTCAAAACTACACCTCCCAATTAGGCTACTAGCACTAATCTTAAGGCTGAGCAAATGGTGGGAAATTCTGTAAGGAAATATTTTGGTAGGACAGATTTTTTTTCCCTTAGTGTCATGAATTTTCTCAGTTGGTGAGAATGGAGAGAGAGGGTAGCATGATAGTATTCCCAAACCAAAGTAACTTTAAATATTTTTTTAAATGTGTTGTTTAAAACTGCTTTAAAGAAAAAAAAAGCATGAAGACCATAAAATGTTTGTTTCATATTCTTAAAATTAAGACTCCATGAATATTTTTCAACCTAGAAGAATGAACTAGTTTTAAATGGCTTTCTAGGCAAAGAATGTGACTTGTCTCAGCCTGCAGCTTTCAACACAGCACCATATAAAATAACATTTTTTGTAATCTGCCTAAAACCCAAGATTTGTGGTAATGCATGAAAGAGCATCCTTAAGTAGTTGTTATTTTCAAATACTGCCTTTAACATAAACACATTTTTAAGAAGTGGCACAACCTTGCATGTTATCTCCTTGGACTACAGCCCTCAAGAACAGGAGGCCTCACAGTGCTGCTGCAGTAAAACCTTTCAGGTGGAACTCTTATGTGTGGAAAATTCTTTCCACTGATCCTTATGATGCAGCCCATTTGCTTTCAGAGAAAGGTATTCACATGTTCCTTCATGATTCTGTAGCGTTAAGTAACTGTTAATCAACAGTACAGGCAGAAGCAGACTCGTGACTCTGAGTAAGTATCCCCTCCACAAGTCTGAACAGCTCACTTCCTCTCACAGAAGCTGGCTTTTAACCCTCAAGTTTTATTGTACTTGCCATTGTTACGGAGAGATTCCTTTACAGCTATTGTTCTTGGCCCACACAGATGTTCAAACAGCTTATGACAAATAGTAAGGAGAATAATCTTACAGCTGTGATCTTTCTCATATATTGGCCAAGTGACTCTCACCAACCTGTTCAGAAAAGGATCTGAGCTATTGGTCGTCATTGTTCTCAATTCCTGAGACATCCCAGGAGAAGATACTGGATTTTGAGTCCCACCATCCTGCTCCAGGGTTGGTAACTGGCTCCGGAGAGCTAATTCCTAAAATAAACAAACACAAACAGAATAAGCCTACTGATTAACAAGTTTATTGTAAGGTTTGAGGAATAAAATGCACAACAGGGTACCACGTATTACAAAATGTTGAAATATTAACATCTTTTTAAAGTTACGTTTCCCAGTCAAAAAGACCAAGTTCTTCTATCCATTTCAAGTGACTGAAAATCATATAAATTGAAAGTTTATCTAGTATTATTAATTCCAAAATATACACACTTTATACCTAATGTCATTTTGTTACAATGTCCTTACTTTGACAGATGCTCCCAATCCTTTCTTAGGGTGGGATGGCAAGTCTGGCCTTTCAAAAAAGAATTCTTAAAGTTTGCTTTTACTCACCAAGCCTCATACGGTTTTGTGTGTTTGGCACCAGTAATTAAGCAAAGCTGGAAGAACATTTGATGATTTATCCTAAGACACCAATTTCTCCAGCTATCTCCCTGCATTATTTCATGCTTTGCTAATCAAGTATCTCATTCTGACTTTAGGTTTTCTTGAGCTATCTTCAGGGCCATCCAGTAATTCCTCAGCAGGATTCTATACCTAGAAATCTGAGCAAAATCTATAGGTCAGTACTACCCCAATGGTTTTGGAAGACCTGCCTCAACTGGCTTCCAAACATCCCAGGCCTCAGCCTTTTATTTGCCAGGGACCCTGAGGCTAGTTTCATCTCGCTGTGGCCAACCCAACACCCTCCTTACTTCTCCGTAATTTCTCACCTTTTCACCCACTCACTGTTCCCTTCCCTAAGAATTCCCACCGTGCCTCTCAAGCTCTGCTACAGAGCATCATCTCTCTACATCTCTGCTACAGCATCAGGTTCCTCTCCCTTGTCTTTTTGTTTTGATTTGAAATATGGCTTTTTATCACAAAGGGCACTGTCCCTTCTTGCAGCCTTCCCGAGCCCAGACTTCTCACTGAGGCACACACCAGCACCTCCAGTGCCCTCTCTGCTGAATCATCACTGGGTCCATAGGCAGTGGACACATTCTCCAAGCTCTGTCTCACCACTTCTATACTACAAATTCTTCCTCATGCAAAACCACTTCTTTTTATTCAGGTTTATGCCTTCTGGATATACCATCTGTTAAACTGGGGTTTCTTAACCAGAGATCATGGTAGAATGCAGAGGGTCGGTGAACTTGAAAAAACTAAACAACCCTTTATTTTCCACTAACTCCTAACTGAAATTTAGGATCTCCTTTAATTATGAATATAGGCAACAAATAGTAGTATTTACTATTTCTTTGACTTTTTATCAACAGAGGACATTTTCCTATATTGTAGTTGCAAATATCTTAAAATATTTATACTTATTTCTACTTCAACATTACAGTAGATGTAAGACATGCTGCTGTATCTTGTTATTTATACATTAGGTGGATGATTCACTCAATGACAGACAGCTCCTTGATCCTCTAGATGCCAATGATCTTCATCTATACCTAATCTAAGTCACCCACCTGCACAGCCAAGAGTTTTTTTAACAACCAAACCTACCTCTAAAATCTTCAGTCATGTTCGCAACAATGATGACTGTCTATCACTGCACTACAACTGCACCTATTGTCTTGGCACTGTCAACATCCATGCACAGAACCTAAATAAGAATCTTATCATTGAAATTCTTGCTTCTCTAAATTGTGATGATACTGACCACTTCACCATTATATTTCAACCATTAACTCCCTTGTTCACACCCTGGAATTGGCTTAAGAAATTTCTCCCCCAGAAAGCTCACATGTACTCATCCCACCTCCTGGGACCACATTTTTTCTTCCTACCCAGTTTCTGCATGACCTCACTCCCACTCTACCAACCCTCCAACTTCAGAGACTCCAGGTTCCTTCTCTCTCTTGCTATTCCAGTCTATTGGCTCCCTTTTGGGTTTTTTTTTTTTCCATTAAAAAAAAAAGGAAGAACTGATATACATTATATCAGTTTCAGGTGTACAGTATGATTCGATACTGGTATACACAGTGAAATGATCACCACAGTAATTCTAGACACTGTCTGTAACCACCATCACCCCCAATTATTTTTTCTTGTGATAAGGACTTTTAAGATCTAACTCCTTTAGCAACTTTCAAATATGCAATCCAGTATTGGTAATTATAGTCACCATGCTATACATTTCCATGACTTATTTATAACTGGAAGTTCGACCCCTCTGACTCCCTTCATTCACCTACTTTGCCCACCCCAAATACCACCTCTGGCAACTACCAAAATGTTTTCTGTATTTATAAGCTTGTTTTTTTGTTTTTATTTTTCAGCTTCCACTTACAATGTCTTTCACTGACTTTTTTTACTGAGCATAATGCCCTCAAGGTTCATCCATGTTGTTGCAAATGGCAATATTTTATTCTTTTTTATGGCTGAGTAATACTCCACTGTATTTATGTACCACAGCTTTACCCTTTCATGTATCAATAGACACGATGGTTGTTTCCGTATCTTGGCTACTGTAAATAATGCTGTAATGAACATAGGGGAGCATATATCTTTTTCAATCTTTCATTTTCTCAAGATAAATACCCAGAAGTGGCACTGCTGGATCAAATGGTAGTGTTCTATTTTAAATTTTTTGAAGAACTCCACACCATTTTCCACAGTGGCTATACCAATTTACATCCCCACCAACAGTGTGGAGGAATTCCCCCTTTGCTCCATATCCTTGCCAACACTTGTTATCCCTTTTCTTTTTGATACCAGCCGTTCTAACAGGTGTGAGATGATACCTCATTGTGGTTTTCATTTGCATTTCTCTGACGATTAGAGATGTTGAGCATTTTTTCATGTTCTGTTGGTTTATTTTTCTCCTTCCCCACAAGTATTAACTCAGGGCTGATCATTTGAAATACATGTTCCTGCTGTACATGGCATGTGTACATCTGTCAACATAGCAAACTCCAATCCTGAAATCAATACTAAAAATGTGTTTGCTTCATTTCTATAGTGAGACCGCTAAGAAATGCTAAAGAAAAATCATACAACCATCCATATTGTTACAAATGAAGAGTCTTGGCCTTGGCTAGGGCCTCACCTTAGTACAGCTCATTAACTTTTTTTCTGGTTCGTTGGTCAGTTTTTTCCTCACATTCTTACAGTCACTACTCCAAATCTGGCATACTCTCTCAAGCCTCTATCCAGTTAAGTCCATTTCCATCTCTCCCTCATTTAAATAAGAACACTGAGACCACTGGGCACAACTGTGGTTTATCTGGCCCCTCTGCCATCCCTGCCTGCTTCTCCCCAAAGCTGTCCTCATGCACATTCATCTTTGTAGCTTTTCTTTCAGTCTCAGAAAGTGGTGTTTCCCGTCCTCCTGTAAAGGCTAATCCTCTTTTCCAGTAGCTTCTGGGGATCCATTTTGTATTTTCTCTCCTGTCTCTGACCCCTTCTCCTCTCATCTCACAGAGAGACAAGGGGCACTGACATAGCGCGCACTCCCTGCAGGCCTGCTGGAGGACACACCTCCGTTGGTGCCATGTCTTTCCATACGCCACTCTTGACAACATTTTCTTTATTTCTTTCTATTTAAGACCCAGTTCTGCCTTCTCTAGGTAACTCTCCATGATGGTCCCATCTCCATCTTTGGATTAGACAGATTTGATGTCTCTAGCACTGTGAACATAGGTATGTAACATGATCTTAGCACTTACCACACATTATTCTAATTATTTCTTTATTTCTTTGTCCCTTAAGGGCACACTGAATGAGTGAATGGACTATTTTGGAGCATAAAACAGTAACTTCCAATACTTTGAATCATTTATGTTGCTATTAAAATATGAGGATGTAAATAGCAATAAACTAAAATGAATAAAACTATGGGCTATGAATGAGGCTGATGCCTAGGTTTTGGTGAGGGAGCTGTAGGTCTTTCAAAATATGGGAGGGTTTGCAAATATCTTGAGAAGAACCTCATTTGCCTTCTTTCAAAGAAGACATGCTCAAGTTTCTGTGTACCTCGTTATAACTCTTTGGAACACAGAGCAAGTATGTGACACAACCCTAGCGAGTAAATTACTGAAATAACTGAATAACTGGCCATAGTTTTCATATTGTTTTTACAACTTTTTATTTTACCCTTTCTGATAAAGTTTCCACTTTTTCAAGATTGTTTTATGAGGTTAAAGCCAATTGTTATTTGCAGCAAATTTTTGGTTTGTATTTTCCCACTTGGCTTGTTCAAAGCTGTCAAACTTTTACTCTTTTGCTGCCTTTAGCAAGTGAAAGTTACTGTCAGCAGAGACTATAGAACCAACTACCCATGTTTACAAAGAAAGGTAATTTAGAGAGTTGAGTAAGAAGATGAAGTCATTCCATATTGCTTGGGATGATACCCGGGGTCCTGTAAAGGGCTATGGAAACACACTTCCCATCAGGTCTGTGTTTGAGCCAAGGCTAAGAGTGACTAACCTAGGGATTCATCAGACTGAACTTGATAGGACTGATGAAAAAAATGCCATTTTAGTTACTAGTGATGGGGGAGGATGTAGCATTATCAATCAAATAGGAAGAATCTGGCATGAAAACAAATACATGATAAGGTCAGTGATACAAAGAACATATACACATAAGATTATAGAAACCATATCATGGTTTAAATATTCAGCTCAGTTTTTTAACTTCTAGTTACAGCAAAAAGAACAGAGTTGATGAGATGCCCTAAGTCATTTTGAACAGCATTTCTGAGGTATAATTGATGTGTAATGACTTACATAATTAACCACAAGTGGACACATTCTTATGCAGGCCAGTATTTGAGGAAGATAAAATTGCTTTAAGTAGTTAAAGCTGACTTTGTAGTCCCCTCCCCCCCAGTCATTAATTTTTGTTAATATTTCATCTGCTGTGAATATAATTTATTTCAATGGGTTCAGTAAGGAAGATGGAAATCTTTTTATTGATATTTTTAAGGAAACTGTCAAAAACGGGGGAGGGAAACTATGTATTTAGGTAGGAAAACAGACCAA